GGATGATAACATGCCGTGATTCATGAATTATGTACCTGTTAGAGATAATAATGCTTTATAGACTTGTAAACAGACTGTGGACTTATTAATTCATGGCAAGATGAAATACACTTGTCACTAGTTACAATAATTTTAAATCATGGTGTTGAGGGAGAATATTGTCTGGCATAAGGTGAGCTGTGGGAACTCTTATTATTTATGATATCAGTTCCACCAGCTCACCAATATGCCAGATGATAATATGCATTGTTAAATTGGATTCATTGGATTATGCAATTGGATTATGCAATTCAAGAGTTTTCATTGGCATAGCCATCATGGGTTATGAGCCATGACACCATGCTCTACAAATATGATTGTACTTTGTAACATTACACTTGTTCTTTCAGAATTAAGTTGGGAGGATTTGTTTATATTTTGGGGTGTTTTTTATAAAACAATTACTACACACATGCTTGTTGGATATGAGATGATTATGGCCAACTCAGCCCTATGAGGCTTGTTGGCTATCTATCATCTCATATCCAATGTGCACTAGTGGAATAATTGTCTATAATTCTTAAAGTATGACTCTTTTTTACTTATAAGCTGGGTCTCGTACAACTATAATCAATTTGTGTCATCATTTGTATCAATTTGTTTATGTATTTGTACTAAGTTGTGATATATCCATATTCATCATGGACTAAGTTTAAGCACTTCCCATACTGCAAATTCTTTAACTTTAACTCCTAGAGGTGATTATCGTATAACCTCTTCCTACAATATCCCATGCATTATTCAGTGAATAGGTAATAAGAATACTGAAACTTATCAGGTAGAAGTTATTATTTTGATCAAACATCGAATTCTCATAAAAATTAACAAGGAAATTTGTAGCAACTAGAGGGGAGAATAAACAATCAGATCTTGGCAGTTAAATAGGCAATGTTGTGTTTTGCAGTTGTGATGCCATGCTAGGTTAGGTGCAATTAATAAAATTGTTCTTGTCACTTCTTTAATCTCTCGAAGGTTGGTTATCTTGCGGGAAGCAATCAGCAGCACCTCCCAGCTAATGTTATGGTGGATCTTGACAATGTTTTAGTTCCTGTGATACATGCTGCTGCAAATCACCAAAGAAGGCATTCGTTAAGTGCAGAGTTGTTGTTTAAAGTTTTGAGGCTGCTTTGACAGACATCAGCAACAATTCCTTTTTAGCCATGTTGGTTACCTCATGAACAAGAAGCAACCCAAAGACAGGAAGAGGTTGAAGGACCTTTTCAGAGTACTCAAGAAGATTTGGCAGAAAAAGCAGAAAATAAATATGATATCTGTATTAATGTTCGTTTCAAATGTAAACTGGATTTTCTTGGGCTGTGGATTAATTTATTTGAGACACAGCAAGAGATATTGCTGATTCAAACAACTTTTTAATACTGTAACTTAAAGTGAAATTATAAAGTTTGTTCAAGCATGAATCTGATGGAACAGGATATTCTTGTGTACAGTGTGCAATATAAGATTATCAGAAACTTCTCTTGTTCATATTTGGTTCTATGCATGGACTGAAAAGTATATAGCAAGATTGGTGTAACACACTTGGCACATGGTAATCATTTTAAATTATGGTATTGAGGAAATATACTGTCTGGCACAAGGTAAACTAGTTGATCTTTTATTATTTATGATATCAGTTCCATTAGCTCACCAATATGCCAGTTGATAACATGTAGTAATTCTTGAATTACAAACTGGTATAATTTATTTGATAAGTTATTTTGATTATGATGATTTAAAATGATAACATGCAGTAATTCTTGAAGTATAAACCTGGTGTATTTGTGGCACTTGTCTAGCTCTGGTCATGTTCATAATAATTTTTTTTTTTAAACATGCAATAATTACATTTTCATCAAGGATCTAGTTTTCATACTTCAAAGATTTAAAACAATTTTTTGGAAAGATATATCCATTGTAATGGGGAAAGTGGGTGGGAGGGGGTTGATTTATTGTTGTTTTTTTCCCAATCTTTGTTATGCAGTTTTACTGAGAGATCAAAAGGGTATTTGTTATAACGGGCCCTCTTTACAAAAATTTCCATTACATTTGGTTTATTTTCCATTCACTTTGTTATTCTGAGGCTAAAGAATGTTCAACATATAACTGGAATTTCATCACAACAGGTTATAACATCATGAGGTTCTGATAGAAAATTTTAATTAAGGAACCTCAGTTTTGTAAGACAGTGTTTCCTAGTGTATTATTTATGTTAAAGCATGGTAACAACCAGCATGAAACATTGCATTGTGTCTGTCACTTCTTTTCTTTAGTAGTCCAGAAGAACTTACATATTAAAGGGGACATTAATTTAAAACTTTATATTGTAAAATAGGTTGTAGTTTTTTATTGCAGTAAATAACACTTTCCAAAGAGAAATAATTGTTTATCTCACAATGTGGTCACTGCAGATGTGGAGTGCTTCAAAACTTGCATGTACAACTAATATATAGCATCATCACTTTTTCAATTTTTGACAAAGTAACAAGGAACAATATTGTCTGACTAGTTACAGTTATTTTAAATCATGGTGTTGAGGAAAAATCTTGTCTGGCATATGGTGGGCTGTTGGAACTTGTATTTTTATGATATCAGTCCCACCAGCTCACCAATATGCCAGATGATATTATGCAGTAATTCTTGAATTATAAACCTGTTAGACATTACATTCTGGAACTTGAATAATAATCATCAATATCAACAATTATATATATTTTATTTTTCAAAGTTGAGGATTAAGGATTAAGTTTAAGTACTTAAAAAGACAACAAAATCTAAATCGGAAGTGGTTTTTATTTAACCCATTACACCTTAAGATCATTATGCATATTCTCCATACTGTTCTCTATACATTTGTAATGGTAGAGATGGAGAATTTTAAGATGTGGGTGTCTGTTCTGTCATTATGATCTTTCACACTGTTCTCAGAAATTTTTCTTCTAAGCCGTTTCAAAGTAAATTCTAAGGGCAAGGGGTCTCAATTTTGAAAACAAACGAGGGCATTAGAGCTGCAATTGACAAGAGTGGGGTTTTCCTTGTTACTTAAATAAACAAAATATAATTTTGAGAAAGAAACCTGACTGCATGATAATAAGCAAAATGAAAAGTTATTGTTCACGTTTTATCTCTAAACTGGTCAGATTGCCTTCCACTTTTTCAATTTTTGACAAAGTAACAAGGAACAATATTGTCTGACTAGTTACAGTTATTTTAAATCATGGTGTTGAGGAAAAATCTTGTCTGGCATATGGTGGGCTGTTTGAACTCGTATTTTTATGATATCAGTTCCACCAGCTCACCAATATACCAGGTGATATTATGCAGTAATTCTTGAATTATAAACCTGTTAGACATTACATTCTGGAACTTGAATAATCCTCATCAATATCAACAATTATATATATTTTATTTTTCAAAGTTGAGGATTAAGGATTAAGTTTAAGTACTTAAAAAGACAACAAAATCTGAATCAGAAGTGGTTTTTCTTTAACCCAGTACACGTTAAGATCATTATGCATATTCTCCATACTGTTCTCTATACATTTGCAATGGTAGAGATGGAGAATTTTAAGATGTGGGTGTCTGTTCTGGCATTATGATCTCTCGCACTGTTATCGGAAATATTTCTTCTGAGCCATTTCAAAGTAAATTCCAAGGGCAAGGGGTCTCAATTTTGAAAACAAACTAAGGCATTAGAGCTGCCATAGACAAGAGTGGGGTTGTCCTTGTTGCTTAGATAAGCAAAATGGAATTTTGAGAAAGAAACCTGACTGCATGGTAATAAGCAAAATGAAAAGTTATTGTTCACGTTTTAACTCTAAACTGGTCAGATTACCTTCCAGATTTAGGCAACAGACTTATCAGAGTTCATGTGCAACTCGCATAGCCTGCCTCCTTTCTTTTCAGTTAGGTGTAGTGCAAAACTGAAAGTGCTGTCAAAGGAGCCCAGATGACTCTTGTAAATGGAAGAGTGACTCTTAAATCTCATCGTTAACTCTTAACTCCGATGGGTTACCAAGACAGAATTCCTCATTACAATATCAATATATAATCAAGCAGACAAGTGACAAAAAATAAAGAAAAATTTATTAATTAGGAAGAATTGTGAATGAAATCTTCAAATTGAAATGGTTAAGGAATTCAAACATGACTCGCATAGTCTCCCAGTTGATGAATCCTCCCAATTGTACATTCTTTGATGTGTCCCTCCCTCAGGTTAAGTGTTGTGAGAAAGTTTTGATGAATGAGCTCAGATAACTCTTGCAGAGGAGACAGTGACTCTTACAATCTCCTAATAAATTTAAATGAGTAAAAGAACAAAACTGTATTATTTGGAAAACATGGTTACTTTTAATTCCCTTGTAACAATTTACACCATCAGAGGTTCTGCAAATTCATGTACTGTCAATACAAAAGTATCATCATTCATCATAAGATGGCTCAGGAGGTTACAGACTGGTAGCAGAGAAAGTTGGTAGAGTTTCACTCTGCTGACTGCTGAAGTTTCCTGCGTTCCTTTTCTCTCACTCTGTACATGTAGCTGTTTCAAAAAGGAGATGGAACTCACCTTAAAATATGCTAAATGCATAGATACTTAGATAATTTACTATTAATTGAAGCTAAGTTTCCCAAATATTAGGAAATGCAGTAGCCCTTGTGCTTCCTGTAGCTGATTCATGGCAGAGATCATGTTTGTAAAGGTTAAGCATTCCAAACAAGTACAAAAATAAGCCTAAATTGAAATGTTAGTTGAACATAGTTCAATATAATGGTGTGCACTACATGCAACATTTCAAGGCAATCCCACTCAATATTTCACTTGGGAATAGTATTTCTTATTTAACATTAATGACTTACAAGGAGTTGGGTTGCTATTTCTGCAGTGGACTTGTTATGATGGGAAAGGGAACGTTGATATTGATCAGAAGAGTGAATTACGTGGATCACAAAATGGAGGGGAGGGGGGGATGGAGAGAAATTCACTGCATCATTCTTTATTTATCCTAGCTCACTTTTTTAATGTGGGAGACTTAGAAATCAGTAAGGGAGTGAAGGAAATCTGTTCTGTATCCAGACCAGTTGACATACTCGATCACTGGTGAACACATATCGCACAATACATTTCCTTGCATCAATAACTACGACATAATATTGTCCTAAAAATTCCGTAGCTACAAATCTTTTCTTTTTTCCCTTCTAATAACTCTATTTTTAGGTATATTCCCAATTAATCTAGCCATTGAATTCGAGCCATAAAGAGGAATTTATCAACAAAATAAGCGTCGACTTATAAGAGGACCTGCCATAATAAAAGCTACCTAGATAGTAAGTCAGTGAAACATTTCGCCCATTCGCCCATGTTGCATATACTTACTCATCGTACTGGCACCTATCCCAAGCATGCTTTTCATGGTGACACTTCCATGGTAAATAGTAAGTATCCTTTCTACACTTCAGAAGAGGAATGAGTAAGTGGGCACAGTAATCTCTGGCCGCCAAAGGAAGTTTCGCGTCCGCCATCTCTTTAGCAGTCACTTTCATCACTTAAAATAAAAAGGGAGTTTCTCATTAACACATTAGCGATAAAATGAAATTTCCTGGTGCATTTTCAAAGGAATAACGACCATATTATGATTACAATTTGCATTATTCTCACCTGGCTCAAACCTCTCGTCCGCCATTTTGGATGTTTGGATGTATATACCCACAATGCCAAGAACCTTTAGTTAGTAAGAGGTAGGCACGTAACACGTGCACAGAAAACTTAAGACACGAAGAGCTTTGGCTGTTAAAGGGATTTCGTGAAAAAAGTCATTAATGTCTAAGAAATTATTAAATAAACTATAAAATATGACTTGAGCTGCCCTCTTAAACAATTAATAATGATGGTTTGTGATGCATATTCTCATAGGCAATTTCCAAAGTTTGTCAATTGACACATCTCCTTATGACGGCTTGCACTTATGGTTGAGTCAAAGTGAAAATCAGCCCCAACCCCTAACTCCTGGAGCAACCAAAAAATTCCTCCCTACAATATCAATACATTTTCAAACAGGAAGGCAATGGGAAAGAACAGCACTGAAGCACTAGCCAATCCATGGGGGAATCCTTATCCCAACCCCATAGAATTTATTTTTTTTACTACATGTCTAAAACCCAAATTCATCTATTGATGTCCTGAAATTATGCCTCTGTTCTTCAATATATCATGCCATAAGAACCAATAAAAACAAAACAATTCAGTTCATTGTATGAAATTTTTCTTTATTTACAAATATATCATCAGTCTTTAAAAAGTATCTGAACCAGCTGTTCATGACTACAAGGATCATCATTATCTGTCGAAGTCACTTCAGGCCTGGAATCTACAAGGAAAATAATAAAGAAATCATTCTTTTGAAAAAAAAAAAATCTTCAAATAGTTTTGAAAATTGAGTTAGTAGTTGGTTAAAATAGCTCGAGCACAAACTCCCATTTGACCTTCCACAACAACCAACAACAGGCAGATGTCTTTGAAATGCCCCTAAACACAGCTGTCAAGAACCAGCCAATCACAGTGGAGCAAAAGGCTTCATAACATGAGGCATATCCAGTGGAAATCATCACTTGAAGAAAACCAGTGGTATGCAGTCAAAATGTATTGATCCAGTTTGGAAGTAACTACCACATGAGACACATGCTTATCCTTCATAACTAGTGTATTCAACATAATGAGTGACCACGACATTTCCGAGACACAGCTGACCAGGGTCTGAAACACCAGGCACTTTCTATCTATCAGTACATGTTTCTGCATCACCTAGAGGAGCTTACCCACAAGGTAACTAAAACAGTATGAGGATAAAAATCTGGGCTCCAGACCTGGGTTTCCATTAATCTCTTTGTCCTTGCTTGTATTTTTCAAATTGGCACTACCTAGTTACCAGAAAAATAGAAAGGAAAACAGAGGCAAGAATTGTTATAACAACAGATAAAGATAACATCAAGTTACATGTCAGAGGGCCCCCCCATACTAAAACCTATTCTGGTTATCATAACATGAAGTGACTAGCAGTACATCAGTTTTTCCCCTTTGATAGGCTGCTGGTCCATCACAGAGGTACCTCTTAACCTTTTATCATAGATGTTGATGCTGGTGCGCATTTATAATTTTGGCCCCTGCTATTCAAAACACAATTAAGTTAACTGACGATTTTCCAACAATTTTTGATTCAGTTTTTAAGCTTTTCAGACAATTTTAATTGTGTTTATTTTTACCTTCCATGTTTTTCAAGTACACTTAAGGTAAAATTCTTGAAAATGTAAGTCCTAATATGTGCTATAATTCAAGAAAAATCAAGGACAAGTTAAATTTTTAATTCTGGATTATCACTTTTCGCCTTTCCAATAACTGCACCCTGGGTGAAGAGAGCACTGTGATGCATGGTAAACTGTCTTTCGCAAGAACAGAAGAGAATGATTGGCCAGGCCCTAAGAGACCAGTATCCCTAATGTTGGGATACTGTGTCTATCAAACTTGTACTAAACATACCTAGTAAGTTATTGGTTCTTCTTATCTCTGCCACCAATTCTTTGTTGTCAAATTTCTCAATGTCGCCTTTCAGCTGCAACACAAAACTACCAATAGCCTAGCAATGGAAAAAATGTACAAGTGAACAGCTTTACTAAGGTCAATGAATCAAAATAAACTAAATCAGATAATTTTAAGGAAAGCCACCAAGAATCTACAAATACTTTTCAGGGCTCCTACTGCTGTTAGTTTTGATTTTAGTTGTCAGAATTCTTAAAAAGGAACATCACAATAATACTCACAGAAGCCACTTTAGCCTACAGGGCAGGTGTAATTTTGGCAAGCAAGTGCTTGGTATTTTCTTAACAAAAATGTTGGCCACCATCTTTGATTTTAATGGCAGCAGAAGGCTGGGGAGAGAAAGAAATTTGCAACAAGGGGGTGGTTGACTGTCAAAAATAAGGAGAGGTGTGGGGGTAGGGGAGTTTTCTTGCCCTTCCCCTGCCCCGTAACTCAACTGTCCACTCTAACTCCAAATCAAAGATCAAACATGGCAGATCAGATAAAAGATTGCAAGCTTATAATGTTAGCTTGCCCTAATAAGACACTTGCACTGCAGGTTAAAGCCACTTCAGATTGAGGTATCTGCTTTCATGCCAGTTATTTACTATAGCAGTGCTTACTGATGATCCTTAACCATTTGACCCACAACAATGATTGGAATCTAAATTCTCCTCACAATATCACCCCTGAATCAACATTAGGGTCACGAGAATAAAGGAAATCATCACCTAGCAGCCCTTAATTGTTAAACATATTCTCCTTGTCATTACCTCATGAATGTATGAAGAACATTATGGAGAATATGCATACTGATGTTAGGGTGTAAATGCATGTTACCTTATGTTGAGCATGTTGGTTTCTGATTTCCTGATGAACTTTTTCAAGATTCATCACTCTTTCCTGCACTTCTTTATATCTACAAATAAAAAATCACTTTCAATTATTTCATAGGCTTGAATTCTCTAGGACCCTCTACCCTCCTAGAAAGGGCAAGAGTGCATTCCTGCAGATGGCAGCTGGCAACAATCAAATGTGCCTGGGGTTGCCATCTGGGGGGGGGGGGGGTGTTGTTGTTGTTGTTGTTGATGCTTCAAATTATTGATTGGCACAATAATTGCATACAATAGCCTGTGAGCAGACCCTGATTGTGGCACAACCAGATTTGAATTAGTTATAGGGGCCCCTCATAACTAGACAAGTGTCAGACCCCTCCTGCACCTCTTGCTAGCCTGCTTTGCTCAGAACCACAAACATTTTTGCAGGAAAAGAAACACCTTTATCACAGCACTAATAATGTTGACTTTCTTATAAGCTATTTATTGTTATGCAGAAATTAGTGTGAGCTGACACTCAAAACTGAGATATAAACAACACATAAAAGTGCAAATCTACAAAAACATAGACCAATATTTTCTAAAAATAATTACCTTTTTAGCTGTTGATCAGATCTAGAACTGCTCCTTGAATCCTGTCTTGCAGCAGATAAATTTTCAAGTAGTTTTCTCTGTGCAAGTCTGTTTAGATTTCGCATAACGGTATCCTCTGTTTTATGATTGACTGAAAAAAGGAAAAATTTAAAGGAAAAAGAAGCAATTTTCATCAACTAACGTAGACTGGCATATAAGTGGCACTTACAGATAAGCTGCACCGATTTTGGTAACTGAAATTTAAGAATACTTTTGCATAAAAATCAAAAGAAATCACAAATGGAGTCTTGATATATAAAATATGTTTTTAATATTGGTTGCTTTATCAAATTTACATGTGTATAAAATGAAAAAGAAGTGTCTTCTCACTTTTTGCAAACTGTACTTATTTGTTTTGATAAAAACACAGATGACAAATTTGGCGTTTTTCTCCTCTGCAACTACTGCACCATTTACCATAGCACTGTATTTTATTGACTGAATGCCTGGAATAGGCCATGTTTTTCACATCCTCCAGGATGAATTAGCTTCTGAAAGAAAGGTTTTGAATCCTCTTTTTGAAACATTTGGGATCTTGAGAATTTGCAACTGTCTTTAACCCTTCAACTCCCATGAGTGACCAAGACAGAATTTCTCCTTACAATATCAATACAATATCAAGCAGACGAGTGATGAGAATAAAGACAAATATTAATTAGGGGATTATTAGTTGATCCAATACCAAATTCTCAAAACTAACATCACAAGAACTGCATAGCAGACAGTAAGGAGAATTACTGGTGAGATCTCAGAAGTTAAAGGGTAAACTAGAATCATTAATACTTCTGTGACCATCATAGATCATGCCATGACTATCCGTACCTTTTCTCAATGCATTGTTGATAACTTGTAAAGGAATATGCTTGGCATCTTTTTCTTGAAATAAAAAAGTAAATAAATCTGTAAATTCAATAAAAAAAAAAATTCTGGAAGAAAAAAGAAGACCAAAAAGTTTGCCATAACAATCATTACATGAAAAAGTAATCAACAAATTCTGGCTAAAGACCAATATTAGTTCACTGTGGAGTCTCTATGGCTTAGTGGTTAGAGCATTGAAGTGTGGAATCTGAAGGCCTGAGGTTCGACTCCTCATGGAGACTCAGAATTTTCCTTTGTCCCACGCTCGTGACAAGACAAAAAAAACCTATCTTTCTCAACTTCTGGTTAAGTTTTAATAAGTTTGAAAGATAAGTTGTAACAATAAGTTGTCAACCAGTACATAATTTCTCTATACAGTATCACTGCCGAACCAAAAATTAAGGCCATGAGAAAAAAAGGATATGATTTCCAACTACAGAAGTTCTTGATTGTTAAACAAATTCCCCTTAACAGTATCTTAGAAAGTGTGCAGAGAACAGTATGGAGAATATGTCTACTGATTTTAAGGTGTTGGGGGGTAAAGCCATTACCTTTAATCTTTGATAAAGAGGGGCAGTCCTTCTCTAACTGGAATGGCTTCTTAAGTATTTTGATTTGTTGTCGTAAGAACTCATGGTCACTCATGAGCTCAGAGAGTTCCTCAGTACAATCCATAGCTTCTGAATCTTCTACATCAGCCAAACTACTCTCAGGCTCAAACAAAGGTGTTGAATCAGTTTCTCTTGTTTGTTTTTTCCTTTTTGTACCAGTGGTAGTTTGTGGAACAGTATCTTTCACATCTTTATCTTTCTTTCTGACCTTTCTTTTCACAGTTTGGCCAGGAACTTTTGTAACTTCTTGTACTCTCCTACCAGAACTTAGTGCTTTGTTTCTTTTTGATTTTTTGGCTTGTTTCATTTCAGAATTGTCGCTACTCTTCTGCCTTTTCTTCTGCATTTGCCCATCTTTGGATAAATCGATTGCCTCTAGATCAGCATTTCTCTAAATATAGTAAAAAGATGACATGTTGTGAAGAGGCTCTATGTTGAAGACAAAGCAGGAGGTTATACCAAATCCTTTAGCCCCTAAGAGTGACAAGCATCTAATTTATCCCTATTATATCACCCCTGAATCAAACATGAAGTTATGAGAATAGAGGAGATGATCACTAACGCAGCTCTTGACTGCTACACATATTCTCCTTGTTAGCCTCTTTGGAAATGTATGGAGAACAGTATGGAGAATATGCATGCTGATGTTAGGGGTAAAGGGTTAAATAAATAAACCTCTTCCAGAAACAGGTGTATCTGAAGATAATGCAACTGCCTCACAGGGGGAGAGGGGGTGGGGGTAACTCTTGAGATATTTTTTGAGTGGAGTGTTGCCATGAACTTTAACCCATG